TGGTTCGACTGAACCAGTTGAGTGGCGGTTTAGCATGCGGTTCAATTGAATTGGTTCAAGGCAGGTTGAAGAAAATGGGTCAACGAGCAATTGCGTGAATCCCGGGTCAGGTTTGAGTCCACGCGTAGATCCTCTTTGGTTCAATACGACATCATTTTAGACTTTGTTTTTCTTATATAAAAGCCAACTTTTTTTTTTAACTCATTTCTTCCCCGATTTGGAAAAAAAATTCTCTAGCCCCCAAAACTTTCTCTAGCTCCGAGCGGGGTCCGGTGTACTACTATCGCACCGACCACTGTCTGGGTCATCGTCGGTGGTCGTTGTCGGTGATCGAAAATTTTTAAATTCACCGAAAAGCTCATTTCGACCTCCTGAGCTCGGATCCGTTATCTTTTTCACAAAAAATAGTCCCGATTGGCATAGATCGGGGTTTGAAGTTTTTTATGTTTTTTTTTTTAAAATTAACTGATGATCTTTTTTTTTTGTGCAAGTGGCTTCAGCGCTGAGGCTCATCCCTATGGGGAATATTGTGTTTTTTTTTTTTTGTTTTTATGGATTTGTTTTAAGTTTTTTTTTTTTTTTTTTTTTTTATAGGTGAGGATGTGGAAGTTTTGTGATTTTGGAAATGAAAGTGAGTCCCAAAGCTTGGAAGGAGAGAAAGCTGGGTTTTTTATAGGGTCGAGTATATGTTCAAGATAATGGGTGGTCTAAGAGCTGTAGAAGTTGACTGTAGGGCGGTTGTAAGGGCTTTGGTGAAAGGGTGGCTGGTCTGATGATTGGTCTGATAGGACTGGACATGGGTGGCTAGATAGGGCCGACAGCGACGTCGTACACCAATCCCTTATTTTTTGTTTTCCTTTTTTTTTTAATTTAATTTTTTGTTTAATTAATAAATATTAAAGTAAAAAAATAAAATAAAATATAAATATATTTTGTGCTTAAAAAATGAGATTGAGCTTCGGACCCAATTGAATCAAATTGAGCTTAAAGTTCAATTGAGTCAAAATCAAGCTTGGAGCTCAATTGAACCGAAATCGAACATGAGACTTAGTCAAATTAGAATCAGGTCTGAACTTGAAAACTCAATACATGCGACAAACTTTAAGACGAGACTTGATTAAAAATCGAATAAATTTGATGTCTAATCAGCTTCTAGAATTATTTTTTATTGTAAATAATAATTCATGTTGGTTTCAAGACATCACAGATTAATTTTAGTTGTTTTTTTTTTTTTGTTTTTTTTTCTTCTTCCGACATTGTAATCAGGCGAGGTCACTGTCGCCGCTGCCTGCCTCCTTCACCGATCTGCCGTGCTTCATCGAAAGTCATCATCGGTGCCAGAAGCCCCCAAACCTTTGTTGAGTTCCTTGCCTCTCTTCTTCACTAAAACGTCGAAACCGAAAACCCACAGCCTAGACTACCTTCAATTGCTGCCTCTATCACATTTTTTGGCATCGATCCAATCATTCACCTTTGCTAGACTGAACACAAGTAGTGACCCCCCAACACCAAACAGATTTTTCCAAACGAATAACCCTGCCGATTTTTACATATGGAATCCTCTATTGGAATTTACATTGAGGATTATTTTGGGTCTGCTTGCTGAGATTTTATAACAATTGCTTGCTTGATTATTTTTTGCATATTGCTTTGTTTTTCTGTTGGAGATTGGCCTTGAGATTTTCTGGGTGTGTGTGAGGCCGATGGTGTGATGGATTTGTTTTGGGGTTGAGGTTTCTGGTTGTGATTGTTTATGGGTTCGGGTATATGTTGGGTATTGCCAGAAATTAGTGTTTTTTTTAGGGTATGGAAGCTGCTGATTAAACCTACTTCTGGTTCTGCTCCTTAGCTCGGCAATTGCTTTTAGTGTCTTTGTATTACTTGGGGAAAAGATTAGCGTTCTGGGTTGGCTTGCTGGGTTCGTTTTCCCCTTCTCACAGCTTACTTGTCCTCGTTTTTTATATTATGAAATTCGACTAAAAAATCTGGGTTCTCATAAAGAGAAAGATCAATTCTTCAATGCAGTGATTCTAATTTTGTTTTTAATTCTTGATTTTCTTTTAATTGCCCGATCTTCAACCCCAAGATTGTTCTTAATTTTCACCTTGAATATCAAATTTACAATCTTTCCAAAAATTTTTCAAGTTTGATTCCTTTCTTTTTAGAGATAATGTCTCAAAGATTTAAATCAAGAATAAAATAAAATAAAATGAATAAACAAATAGGATAAATACAAAATAAAGTAAAAACATGAAGTAATGAAAGAAATGAATTAAAACCCTTCAATTAGGTTCGAACCGCATCTTAACTCAACCGATTTAAGTTTTGGGATATGAAATTAAATCGGATTTAATTGACTTAGACCCTTAATTAAATGGGATATCTACATTTTTTTTGTGATTTTCATATTATTTAACTCGACCAAAATAGTACGATTCATTTTACTTGACGTATCAAATATTTGCGTCGAACTTAAAAGTGAAAGTAAGAATCTTAAAATCATTAAAAAAAAAAAAGGTTATAAATAAAAGTAAGAAGTGTTTTTTATATTTATATTTTGATGCTTAAGTTAAAGGTTAATTATAAAAAATTGAAAAAAATGTAAAATAAAAAGAAAGTAAAAAAAAAAAAACAAAATGATTAGATAGTACATAAATAATTATATCACAGATGAAATACAAAAATTTACAAGATAAATTGATGATATAATTAAATTAACATAATATTATATATTAAATCAATTCAAAAATTAAAAATATCATCAGTTATCTATCATAATTTCTAATAAAAAAAATCATATTATCTTTTGAATCCAAAAATACTCCATACACTCACCAAACCTCGAATTGGGGCCATGTGACTTGGCGTATTCTGAGCTAAACACACCAGGCCAACAAATGGGAACAAAGGCCGGTTGTTTCCTTAAGGTTTCTATACGGTTGATTGTAAAAGCAGGATTTATGATTTGATAGTAATAAAAAAATTTGATAAAAAAATAATGTTTACTCTTAATAGCAAGATTAAGATTTTTTACTATCAATTTGAACTTGTTCAGACATTGTATTTATTATAAGTGGAATTTTTTTTAAAATTAAATTTTTTATTTGATTTTTAGTTTGGATGATTTTTTTTTTACATAAGAAATCTTATATTCTCTATAATGTCAAAAAGAATAAAAAACTCTTATATTTTTGAATTTTTTTAAGATTCTAGAAAAAAATAAATTTTTTTTTCTTTTGCCCTCACTTAATTACATTTTCAAATTATATAGATAATATTATTTATCTTCGAAATGTAATAATTTTTATAAGATAATATGTAAATAAATTTTTTAATATATTTTAAATAAAGATTATATTTTTTTAAATTAAAATCATGGTCTTTGTTATTTTCAAAAAATATGTATTATAAAAATATTATTTTTTAGAGTAATTTCAGCAAAAACTACATTTTTTAGATTAAAAACATAATTTTTATTAAAAATATATTATGAAAAGAATTTATATATTTTTTTTATAATTTCAACAAAAATCTATTTTTTTTTCTTAAAAAATCTGTTTTTTTTGTTGAAAATTTATTTGTTGCTAACAAAGAAAGGTAATAATTTTTTTTTTTTTTGGAAAAGACGATATTTTATTACGAAAAAAAAGTTTTAATTTTAATATTTACTAATTTTTCTTGTTTCAAAACGTCCGGTGTAAAAATAATAATCTTTTTAACATTTTTAGCTATCATCTACCATCAATGCTGATGGGTTCCACTCGTTTTGAAAACATAAAACTTAAAATCATTTGTTATCCTTCATTCAAAAAGCTATTTTATGATTCACATATTTCCCCATTTTCTTAATTGTAAAAAATAAAATGAACTTATATTCCATGATACAACATTCTTTTATCAATTTTTAATAATTTTCAACAACTACAAGTTCTACTATACAGTTTTATTAAAAGTGTATACTAAATTTATTTTGTATTTTTATAAATTATGTACTGTATGGGAAGGTGTTTATTAAAAAGAAACCATTATCATTTTTTAAATAAATTAATTAATTAAAAAATATTTGAAATATTTAACTAAATATATAAATAATTTATAATTAAAAAATCCTATAAAATGTTAAATAAATAAGTAAGTTATTTTTATATTTTTATATTTATCATTTGTTATTCTTTTATTATAAAAAATAATATAATAAATAATTTTATTAAATAATTTTATATTCCTCTAAATAAATATAAAAATCTTACTTTTTTTAAGGTCAACAAACCTCAATAATCACTCATTCTCTTTTAATATCACTTTATCAAGATTATTTTTTTCTTAAAATCTAAAAATTTATGAACTAAACATTTTTTAAATGTAATGATTACATATTTACGTTGAACACAATTAAGTAAATTAGTTTTGTACTAGGAGTCCAATGCAAAACTCAACACTGACATACACATGTATAAAAATGTTTCACCTTTTGACCTTATATTGATACTAATGATCTAATAATTTATGTATTTATGTTATGATTATGTTATTTTGTTGTGTCAAAATATATAAAATACAAAAAAATATATATGTTAAATTTGTGTTATACATCAAATACAAAACTTCTTTTTTGTTTTTATCAAATTTATATTTTTTTTATTAAAATTTTAAATTGTATCGATTTTGTATTTTTTTATATTAATTTTATATCGTATTATTATATTATATTCAAAGTTATCATATCTGTATAACATTTTTAACTTTTATCATTAGTCCTACTTTTTTTTTTTTGGTTGGGTATTTTGATCCGAGTGAGACTTTACAAAACTAGAAACAAAGCTACGATGAATTATAAATAGCTATATTAATCAAGTTTCTTGGACAGTTTTTATCTTAAAAAAGAAACAGTATAATCTACGTCAAAGGTACATTTGATGCATATATTAATTGTATTACAATATGATGTAATCTCTATAAAACTTAACAGATGCTCTTAGACGTTTTTTATAAACAACATTAACAATTGCAATTTGAAACTCGAGTCCTGGGCCCCGCTTTGTTTGATTGGGAATAGGATGTGGGTTTTAGCCCCAACAAAAGGCGAAAGTGTTTGTCCCCTTTAACCATGGCCTTTGCCCAACAAAAGAAAAGACAATATATTATACATATTATCACAGACAAAAAGCATGAGAAACATTTGACTTGGCGATGCAATCAAGTTACCAAAGTGCCCACAACTTTTTTTTTCTCCGCTACACGAAGACAACGAAGGTTTTCCTCGGTTCTTCCATTGGCTGGCTGTCAAAGATTCCTGGAAATCACGGCGTCTATCGTCCTAATTCTTCTCATAAACCAAACCTCTTTTGTCCCTTAACTGCCTCCCTTTCATGCTTTATTCATCCGTTTGTCTGTTTTTAGTTTCCTTTAATCCTATATAATTCCGCTTGACATTTACAAACATCAAAGTTGACTACTTCGATATTTAGTTGGAAAATTTTCATTGGTTTTTATAAAACATGGCTACGAATAATGCTTTCCCTGCGGTTGAAAAATGTGCGTCTATAGGCCGAGAAAAGCACACGGTGGTCGCTGACATGGATGGCACCTTGCTTATAGGCCGTAGCTCTTTCCCATATTTCGCTATGGTTGCCTTTGAAGTTGGCGGAGTCTCGAGGCTCCTTTTCTTGCTCTTAGCTTCACCACTTGCTGGACTTCTTTACTACTTTGTCTCCGAATCCGCTGGCATCCAAGTTCTTATTTTTGCAACATATGCTGGGATGAAAGTGAGCGATATCGAATCAGTGGCACGAGCAGTGCTGCCGAAATTTTACTCTAGTGATCTGCACCCCGAGTCATGGAGAGTCTTTGCCTCGTGTGGGAAACGTTGCGTTCTTACTGCAAATCCTAGGATAATGGTGGAAGCATTTTTAAAAGATTTCTTAGGGGCTGATATGGTTTTAGGCACCGAGATAGGAACTTACAGAGGTAGAGCTACAGGATTTGTTTGTAAGCCAGGGGTACTTGTCGGGAAGAATAAGGCAGATGTTCTTCAAAAGGTTTTCGGCAAGACAAAGCCAGATGTTGGGCTTGGGGATAGGCATACTGATATTCCCTTCATGGCAATGTGCAAGGTAATTAGCAAAGCAAGTTCTGAATTAAGCATAAACTTTCGATCGTATATATATATATATATATATATATATATATATATATATGATTAACTAACAAATAAATAGAAAACTATTGCAGGAAGGTTACGTTGTGCCACCAAATCCAGAGGCTAAGGCAGTTACAAGCGAGAAGCTCCCAAAACCTATCATTTTTCATGATGGCCGGCTTGTTCAAAAGCCAACACCTCTCATGGCTCTCCTAATAATTCTCTGGATCCCCATAGGATTCCTCCTGGCCTGCTTGCGCATTGCAGCTGGTTCACTCCTCCCCATGCCAATAGTCTACTATGCGTTCTGGGCACTTGGAGTTCGAGTCACTGTCAAGGGCACCCCACCTCCTCCAGTCAAAAAATCAACCGGTGAATCTGGTGTCCTCTTCATTTGCTCCCATAGAACATTACTTGACCCAATCTTTCTCTCTACTGCTCTTGGACGCCCTATCTCCGCAGTGACCTACTCAATCTCTCGACTCTCTGAGATCATCTCACCCATCAAAACTGTTAGACTAAGCAGAGATAGAGCAACAGATGCATCCATGATTAAGAAGCTACTTCAAGAGGGTGATCTAGCTATCTGCCCCGAAGGAACAACCTGCCGTGGACCATTTCTTCTGAGGTTTTCAGCCCTGTTTGCGGAATTAACTGACCAGCTTGTGCCCGTTGCCATGGTGAACCGTATGAGCATGTTTCATGGCACCACAGCCAGGGGATGGAAAGGGATGGACCCATTCTACTTCTTCATGAACCCTAGCCCAGCATATGAAGTAACTTTCCTAAACAAGTTGCCACAGGAGCTTACATGCAGCTCAGGAAAGTCTAGCCATGAGGTTGCCAATTATATCCAAAGGGTGATTGCTGCAACTCTTTCATATGAGTGCACAAGCTTTACTAGGAAAGATAAATACAGGGCCCTGGCTGGGAACGATGGGACTGTTTGAGAAACCTAAGCTTTCAGCCAACAAAGTGATACGATGTTAATTTTTACTTTCCTTTCTAAAGTTTATACTTTTGTTTCTTAGTGATTGATGTTTTGGCTAAAGCTTAAATACCAGGTACCTCCAGCACCACAGATGTGGTGCAGGGGATTAGATTATTTTTTGAAGCATGAACCCGAAGAAATTGGTGAAAACGGAAAACACTTCTTTCTGACTTTTTTTTTTTTTCTTTTCACAAAACAGCAGCGGTAGATGCAGATTATTTTTGGATTTTAACTTATAATATATATAAGAAATACCGATTTACTAATTTTATAGACGGAAAATGTGTATGAGAAATAAAAGATTTTTTTTTTCACGGTTTGATGATGTGCAAAAGAAAATTTTGAGGTTATTAGGAAAATTGTTTCTTCAAATTTTATTGTTTTCCACTTTTTTGGGGTATCCACGGATACCTTAGATCAAGTTTTGCATCCGCTACTGAAAAAGAGTTTGTAGTTTGGGAATAGAAAAAAAAATTATAAATATTAAGATTTGAATATCAAATTTATTAGATATCACCTTATAATATATATCACTTCTTAAAAATAAATATATAAATCAATTAAATTAAGTTTGGGTTCAAATTTACACTTTATTGTAACATTATATGGGATATTTCTCACAATTGTGATAAATCATACATCTAATTTCAAATAAAGGATAAGGCCCAAATTTGGATGACAGTTTTGATTATAAAAGAGCAATCACAGAGCACTATTAGAGTTCAATCGACTAGTTAGAGTTTCTTTTTTATTTTCTCCAGCAGCAACATCATCAACCATTTATGAATTTAATTTGATGATTACATGTAATACTGAATACTACCAGCTTCTACGATTTATTAGAGTATAGGAAAAGCATCTGCATATACAACAAGATGCAATACCTGTAATTTATAAACAATTATAATATAATAATTTAATTTTTTAAAACAAAAATACAAATTAGTTTTTTTATATGAAGTAACTATCATATTTGAATCAATATTAGTCATTGATAATTTTTAATCAGATATTATATATATTTTGTAATATATATGAGTTTTCTTTATAAATTTACTAGTAATTTTTAACAATATTTTGGGGAAAAAAGTGTTAGTAAACTGTAGTAATTAGCACTAAAAGTAAGAATTTATATATTATAATAATTGATTATATTAGAGTTGGCACGTGAATAGAATTGACGCTTGGAAGTTACAAGTTTGTGATAGTTTATTCGTGTAATATTCTCTTTAATCAGATAAATAGTAGAGAGTTTAAAGATAGACTATGAATTTTAAAAATATAATAATTTATAATAATTTATATCTATAATCAATATATAAAAGATGGATATGAAGAATCTTTAAATTGAGATGAAAATGAACATTTTAACTCATTATATTTTAATATTGACTGTAGACATTTCATATTCTCTGAAAAAAAATTTCTAGATTGAAATGTGTTTTGATCGTGAGTTGGATCTGAAGAAGAATTTTTTGGGCCCAAAAATTAAAAACTCCAAAATTTTAATTTGATTTTGACTTTGGTTTTAATTTTTAATTTTGATTTTAGTTTTTAATTTTAATTTTATTTTTGGTCAAAGTAAAAAAAGTATAAAAAAAAAAAAAAGAAAATCATCAGAAAACCAAACAAAATAGTGTGGATTTATTTTTGAAAAGCTTTGGATTTGATTAAGACATCCTAAATTCTAGTTTTAAATTCAACCTTAGACCTTAAATTTATTGATTGATTAAGTATGGAAATCTTGGCCCCCAATTCATGCAAAAATCACAGAGAATTGAATCTTAGGAAATTTATCCTAGATTTGGAAGGAATTGAATTTTTCCAAATTAAAAAAGTTTGAATCCCTATATAAAGAACCCCAACCTATGAATTAAGGAGAACAAGCAATACAAAAGCAGAAGCAATAAGTAATAGAGCAACTTAAGCCTTGAAATTTTTTGGGTTTTGAGGTTTTTGTTTAGCTTTATGGTGTTTTTCAAAATTATTCTAGGTATTTTGGGATTTTTAATTTGTTTGCAATTTTGAGATTTTGATCTACTATTGAGAATTATATTTGTGGAATTTTCATTTGAATCTAGGCTTGGGTTTAGGCTTTGTTCTTGGTTTCTAGAAATTTGGTTTAGATTTTTTAAAGCTTGATTTCTCAAGCTTTTGGTGTTTTTGGGAATTTGTGTTCTGACTCTTCATTTTAGTTTAGATTTTGGATTCTAAAATTTTTTTAAGTTATGGGAATTTTTTATTGAATTCTAGGTTTTTGGGTTTAAATTTGAATTTTTCAGTGAGAAGTTAAATTTTTCGGTATAGATCATAATGGTCGAAGGTTGTTAACTGTGGTCGTTTATTGGGTTTTGGGTTTTTCTGGGTTTGGTTTGATTTTTTTGGTGCCCTTTGAATTTTTCAATGCCAGATTCTAGAATTGTTGGCCGATCGTTTGAAGTTCACGATGAATTTTAGAGAGATGTTGGAGTAAAAACCAAGCTAAAGAGAGAAGAAGAATTAAGGTCTAAAAAAAAAAAGAATTGATTTTGGCTTTTATTATATATGACTCACGTGTGACCTAATTGATTTCCAGATCAACCTGATGGAGATCTGACCCTAAGTACAGGTTTCTCCTTTTCTTTTTTCTTTTTACTTTTATTTTATTTTATTTTTGGGATTTATTTTTGGCTTTATTTTATTTTTTTATTCTATCTTTTTTATTATTTTGTTATTTATTAATTGTGTGATTGAATTTTAAAGGATGAGAAAAAGAAAAAAAATTTTGATTTAATTTTTTCGCATGATAATTTATATTATTGTATGATTTTAATTTAATTGCATGTTTTGCATGATTATTTATTAATTGCATGATATTTTATATTCTTGCATGATGTTGATATTTGCATGATTGCATGATAATTTTTCATAATATTTTATTTTATTGCATGATAATTTTGGTATGAATTTAATTTGTTGCATGATATCCTTGTGTGATTTTTTGTATGATTTATATATTGACATGTTTTAATTATTGCATGATTTGATCATGATATTTTTTATAGAATTTTTACATAACAATGTTATGTAAATAAATAAAAGAGACTGAAATTGATTTGCATGATAAAAACCATTTTTGATAACATTTAGGTAAGATAACACATAATTAACTTGGTACCAATTTTGGATGTAAAAGGGTGCTAAAGCTTTTCTTGTATATAACTGACTCCCAAACCTTAGTTTTGTTAATATATACCAAAATTACTCTTTTTAAGGACCATTAGTTTGCACTTAGGACAACCTTAAAAAGGATAAATTCACAAAGGTAGCCAATCACACTTAGGTAAGAAAAAGATTGGTGACGACTCCATAGTTTTATGTCTAGCAGATGGGTTCTCCCAACCTAGACTTTATGACAGTTTAGTGAATCCATTAGAGATTGATGAAAGAGTCAAGCCTATAGTAAGTTATGTGCTATCTTAAGCTTTGCTTTGATGGTTTTATATGATTATTTATGATTTTTATATTACTAACCTATTTGTTTTTGTTTTCTTATTTGTTTAGTTTACAAATTTTAATTTTTTGTGTACACTAATTTATACGATTATTTGGTATGTCCCTTTACACATACCACATTTACATTCATGCATAAGCTTTATACCCAGGCTTTATCTTTTATTAGGAGGAAGCAAGTACCTACATTCTCACGAGATAATAACCTCCGTATGAGCTAGTGAAAACTCTCATTCAAATTAAACCCTTTTAATTTAAGCGTATAATGGTAGGCGATGATTGAGGTGTCTTGCTAGTATATAATAAATGATTATGTAAGAAATAGTTTGAAAACCTTTAGATTATCAGACTTTTGAACCCAGCATGTAAAATAAACCTTAAAGATCTGAACCAAAGTTAAAGCCTTGCCTTCCCCAATGTTAGAAAATCCCAAATAGGACATATCAAGGGACATTTTACTGTTTTGCTTGTAAATTTATATTGTTCATTGTATTTATTATGTTGACTAACCCTTTCCTTTATGTTATGTGCATACATAAATCATTAGACTTATCATAATGAGTGATTACAACAAAATAATCTTAATAAAAAGAATCTTAATTACATTAATGGAAAGCCTATCAAAATTTCCTAATTGTCAGAGAATGAAGTTCAAAGAAGCTTAGCTTAAAAGAGGTGATTGCTTGCTAGCTAATTATGTGTCTAGTCTACTTGCCAAAATCCATTCCAATCTTAAATGAAATGATCCTAACAATTTGGTTAGTGTTTGGAACTAATAGGGTGTCATTACCAAAGAGGCTTTTCAAAAGAAGTTTGAGGATCTTGCATTACTTCTCTTAGTCTCTATTGATGATTTAATTTTGGGATCCTTCATAATTCTAATTTGTGTTCAATAAGGTTGATATGGAATTAACTATTAAAGAATATTCAACTTTCCTTCACTTGGATCTTCTTAATCTTGATAAGGTATATTAAAAAAAATTAGAAGATCGATTACCGAAAAAACCTTGCTGAAATAATGGCCGTAGATGTCCAAATTGTTAATACTTTGGTAAAAGGAAAAGGTAAAAGTGATGGCTTTCCCTAGTCCATTGTTCGTGACTTTATATACAAGTATTTTGGTATTGAAAGGGGAATGGATTTGATAGCATTGGCTCTATATAAGATAATGGTATTTCCAAAAGTAATTTGATATATTGATGTTGTAATAGTGGCTTTTTTCGATCAATTAGTTATCAAATCAACCATGTTCCTGCAATCTTGGCTAAGACTATTAGATATTTGAATCATTATCACCAAAATGAAAATGGACATTTTACTAGATGTATTCAATTGCTCACCATTTGGATGAAAAGTCATATCGAAAACAATAGAGGTAAATTTCATAAGCTATATTTCACTACAAGCACTCTCATCAAGGAATTTTATGAGAATAAATGGCCTGCACAAAAATCCCAAGAGCATGGA